ACCGTGTCCTACATCGCTGACGATTGTGATTCGTCTTGAGTCGTCTTGCAGCACCGCTGCCGTTGGCATCGGGTAATAGTTCGCGTTCACTGGCAAATTGTGATTGTATTCACGTTTCAGAAGCTGCAAACCTCATTTTAGATCAGATCAAGTGGTAGTGTTAGGAAAATTACTCGATTCGAATGGAATCCAAACGAACGAATATCTATGGATCAGACAAGCGATAAAGCAGATTATAGATAAAGTTGTTCCGAGAGAACTGTTTGAATGAATGCAAACAGATCAGTGTAATTGCATTCAGTTTACCTGGAATCCATTACTATCAGTATAAAATTGAGTGGAATTTGAATGGAGATCCGAACTAAAACGAGTGATGAGCTCCATGTTGTTGAATCCTCTTATATCGACTCGCATTGAAATATGAAGTTGTTCACCTTCGTTACCTAAACATTATTCAGCTCATTTTCGTCATCAAAAAGATCGGCATTCATTCTTGAAACAGTAATTCAGTGAATTCATCATGAAAATTAGTACTGTTGAGAGAAGAACATCTGTATCAATACCTTCAATATTGTGAAGGGCGATTTTTTGAGTGATATACTTCGAAAGGATATAAGCGCTTTGCTGAACGGGTCCCTTGACGATGAAACGACGCAAATCGATCAATGGGAGCGACTGAAATGAAGCCATGGAATCGAATCTTTTTGAATGCTTTAATAATTATCTGCATATGCTTAGTAGAGCTTGCGGTAAGAAATGCTTCAATGGATCATTCAGTGAATTATGTGATGAATGCAATCAACATATCCATTATAATCTAATCGTAAGTGCAGTTCAACAATACCAACTTGAGCTTCACCGTTACTGCTCATGATGTAGGGTCCACCACCGCTATTTTCATAATGGTCGACAGTTTGAGCAAATTTCATGTCACCAATTGAGTTTGTTCGAACAGCCTAAAGCAGCATAGTTTTTGCGATCGGCTATATCAATGGTGCCCGTCGGGGGTGAACAGGGCTTTCATTCGTTTTAGCACGGTTTTCATTCTTTTCCGAGCTGCTTGAATCGCTCTTATAGCTGCTATCATCGAAATTGTTCTCTTCTGCTAGTTTCTCGTTCATTTCACTCAACAATTAAAGTCAAATTCCGATTCTATCAAACACACTCTATAATTGACCATTTCACTGTCGAATGTTGTTCAGCAATTCAATTCAATTGTTGTATTGTTGATTTCGGCTGTCAACACTCGTCAACGTATCCAGTAAATAGTATATGTTACAGAATGAGAAGATGATTCGAACTGTGACGTGAAATGAAACGAAGTGAATGAGAAAAACTCATCAAGAGAACGATATTATGTATTAGCTATGAGAGTGAATACAACACGTCTGAAAAGAATGAGAACTGTAACAGCAATGAGAGTGAATACAACACGGCTGAAAAGAATGAGAATCCATCTGAATCAGTTTAAAGTGAGCGAGTCACAGACAATAGCTTTTCATGCAATCATGGTCGATTGCAATAATACTCGTACAATAACTGAAAGCAGAGTGACGGAAGTAAACAATAACGAAAGCATGCTGAACTCACAGTTATAAGTCCACTATCAGCAGAATGAGTCGTCTTCACTGATTCAGTTTCGATGAGGAATTCATCAGGTTTGATCCGGGTAATGTTAAAGTTCCTTAACTTTTGGAAATGATCAGCAATTATTACTAGTAACGATTTTCTTCATCAAATTACCATCGATGTGATATGATCATCAATTCATGCAAATGCAAAGAACTATCAAATGAAACCATGATCCGAGATAACCTCCGTGATTCCTATGAATGCCACATTTTAATGGATTAATTGAAAGTGTTGCTGTTTGATCGCAGAATACTGAGAGCTTTATGGAGCGTCATGCTCATTTTCGCTGTAGTTCAGCAATTATTTGCAATTGTTTTTGACGCCTGGGAAGAGATAATGTTTCCAAAGTATAAATGCTTACTCAAATTCGCTCGTATTAGCGTTTTCATTACTAACAAAAAGAATATCCGCAATGTGAGTGTGCTGAGTACTTTGATGATCGTATGAGATCACAAAAATCTCCGTTGACAATGGCGGCAAGAGGACGCGGAACACTAACTGAAAACGCTCGTGGTTGTTCGTGAAAGTTGGTATCAATGATAACAAATCCTTCCGGATATTTTGAGAATTTAACCTCTTGGCAAGAATCTTCCTATTTCACAGTGGAATTCTCCAACCGTGATTTCGATCGTCTCTCAGAGAACAGTTTGTCTGACCGACTCGTCAGCGATACCTGTTGACGGTTTGAGAGTGTTTTACAGTATGAAATTGTTCACCAGATTAAACGATAGGTTTCGCTTCATACGACACAAAATCTCTCTCAGCTGATCGGATTCACATCCGATTAGTGAAAGAAGGCATAATGTTGAGAATAATGAACAAGAAACTAGCAAATAGAACTGTGAAGCGAACGGAACCTTGTAATAAGTTGAAAGAGCATTGGTAACAGGGTCAATGTGAGGTTCAATCTGTGCTTCAACAGCTCTACCGTTCAACGTTACACTAACGCTAGGCGTTGATAAAATCAATTCGATTATTTCGACACGTTTTCGTTCGATACTGTTAAAGATGGCCACGGAACTGAAATTGAAGTTCCCAATCGAGTAAGTGGAAATTCGCTACCGCTTATATTGCGCCCATCAAATTCACGAGAATTTCTCAATTTGAAGGTTACAATCAACGTCGAGCAGGGAATGCTTTCCGCTTCATATATTTCGTCCATATCAAGTGGGCTTATAATCCCTGAATCAATGAATTGAGGCTTCGAAGCGTTGTGAAACACGGCGGAAGAATGGGTTTTAATGAATGGTTACTCACATTTTCTTGTGCGGATCGAGAAGAATCGGAAGTTTTGAGGTAGTTTCATTGTATTGGAGAGGTATTTCATTCTAAAAAACAATTTATGACTTAATACGATAACCTATGGATGAACCTTGATGGAAATGGAGAATTTGAATGGTCATCTAAAGAACACACCATTTGGAATAGCTCTTTGTAGATTGCTTGCATTGAACGTTGAAGACATTTTGATGCAGTATGCATAGCAGTGAAAAGAATCTGAGCATAGTTTGACATCACATGTTTTTTACTCGTTCCTGCAACAAAAATTTTTCGGATGCTTAATTCCAACTGAGATATCGTCACTGAGTTATTAGGGAGAATCAGAGACTGTATTGCGGTCATACAGTCAGGTAGAAATGATCTTCCGATATGGACATTGAATCGCACCTTAACAGTGATGCTATTAATTTTGTTAACAATAATTATGAAAAGAGAACACCATCAATGAAAACAGTCAAATGATGATATTCATAGCAACCAAGAACGAGACGTGACGTGATAGTGGATATTAGAGCATTACCTGTAATAGCATCGTGATGTTGAAATAGTGAAAGATTCCTCCTGGCCGATTGCAGATTCTGCTGGATCCATATACGTTCAGATGCACTCATTAGCTTCATTGCATTCGCACTCAGCAAATCTGCACTCCGAATCATCGCCTGTAATGCATATTCAATCAAGCTAAAGCATTATCCTGACTGTAAAATGACAACAAGCAACTCACATGTAATTCACGTTCCTTGCGCTTGTAAAATGGTCGCGTTGTGTAATAACCAGTCCACATATCGCCAAGAGCGCATTGATACGGGAAGAAATCACCGGAAAGAGTGGGTGGTTCGCGGGAGTGGTCCGTATACCATCTCTCAAGTGATTCGAAGTAATCTGTGAACGTACCGAACCTTTAATGCAAATAGGAAATCAGAAATTGCGATATCATGAAGTATGATCAATGTAACATGTGTATGAATTGTTAAAGACCAATTATTTGCACGCTCACGATCATGAGAGTTACTTGCCTAATTTGCATGTGATTTCGTGTGTTGATTTTTTGAAACAGCGGCATTAAATTATCGTACTGCTGATACCATTCTTCGATGGCGTTATAACGGAAATCGTCGCCCCACACAGCGATTATATTGTTCGTTTCGTACAAATCAGACAGCTTCGTGAACTGCTCCTCAAGCATTGCCGCTCTTCAAACATGGCATTCAAATTATCCATTGTTTGCAATTTTT